AGGGTTAATTTTATTTATTTTTGAAATATATGAATTTTAGATGAATTTGAAAACAATTTTAGAAAGTAGGGTGAAACTGTAAATAAATAGGGATGTATTTGAAAGAAAAGTTTGAAAAACATGGGTCAAATCACAAAAAAAGAGAAGTACAGGCCATGTAGGACGTCCACGTCAGCAGTACGGTGAGTCAGAACGCACTATGTGGTGGACACGCTGGCATGGGCTCTACGCAGGAACCACACGGGCGATCCGTGAGTCAAGACGATCCAACGGCCCGTGTTCATTCTCGCGTGAATGAACAGTTCGGATTGATTTCTTAGATAAGTGCGATTGGACGACCCACGCATCTTCGATTGAACGGCCCAGATCTGTTTTCCTAATAAACGCGATCGAACAACTGATGAGGATCCACGCGAGCTCGGATGGACAACTCAGATCGAGGGAGGGGGTATTTAAACGTCTCTTCTAACCGAAACCCTAACCTTAGCTGACACCTACTCACCAGAGAAGAAGAAGAAGAAGGGCAGCTGGAGGAGAAGCCTAGCCATCAAGGTTGTCATACCGGAGACTCAAAACGCACCGATGAGTGCAATTTTTCTTCCCATTCTTCCCATTTCTCCGCTCATTAATCGACTAACACATTTTTTATGCAGAATAACTGAAAACAACTGTGACTTGCGAGGAGGAACAATGGAGCTTGGTTGAGCCACCGCACCAGAAGGCCAAAATCACTAGTAAGCTTCAGTTTTTCTCATCTTTTTGTCGATAAACACCTCATAACCATGATTTAAATAGATTTTCACCAATAATCAACCGAAAATGGCCTGACTGAGAGGAGGAGCCATCGGAGAAAGAGGATTAGGCAACAGAGCACAGCAGCGCTGCCAAGTCAGCACCCTAAACCCTCGGTGAGATTTTTTTTCTTTTTTAGCTGTTTCTGGCGTATTTTCATGCTATTTTGACATACATTTCGATCTTAGTAAGAAAATTCAATAAATTTAAGAACCAGGAACCATCGAAAATCGTAGTGAAAAATGTGGTGTTTTGGACACCGACCCAGGATAAGAATTCCTCATCCCTTTTTTCTATTATAGTTAAATTGAAGCTAAATTGATAATAAATAAAAAATTTAGTTAATTTGCGATCCTTTAATTAATTAAGTACATGTTACTAATGGAACAAGTAACCGATCAGTTTATACATGTTTTGAGTTTTAATTGTAGAGATTATTTCTTCAGTCGTTTATTATGCTTATTTATTCATTTTACTACTTACTTTAATTTATTCATTTTAATTCTACGGCTAACATGATAAGGTTTCTTAATCTATGTTATCATGTCATTTTATTATATGTATAATACGTTTATGTCAGTATAATGCATGTTTATTTTACGCACATAACCTAAATATGAATTTCATACTCATGTGCTGTTTTAAATACAAATATACGTGTCTTTTAAGGCTAGATAGTAAATAAAAGAAAATATATGGGTGAATTAATGGTGTTGAATGAAAGGGGCTTACTTGACATCTTAAAAAAAAGTGTACGAACTTAGTACATAAAGTGAACTCTACCGTGGATGTTACCCTCAGTCGTACGGGGCTGAGAAGTCCCATACCATAAGGGGTTGGGAATTATTTTAATTACACTAATACTGAACGAGGTATTGAAGCAGTTATGTGTTTTGACGCCTATTATCGGATGGGGTATGGGGATGACTGTTTGATTTTAGAATGAATGTTCGTGTCCACGTGTTATGGGGATCCCTATGGACCCCCAACAACACTGGTAGGAAATGTAAAATGATAAAAATGAATATGGTAAGGAATCCAGTTTTGGGAAATAATGTAAAGTTAATTATTATATGTCCTTTAGAATGTGTATTATAGATTGTTATTCTTATCCTTATCTTAATAAATGATATTTAAGAATTTACAGAGGAGTTGAAAAAATATTAATATTTTTAGTGAAACGAATAATGACACTAGCATTTGAGTTTTATTACCAATGAGCTCCATTAGTTATTTTATATTTTTTGTATCAGTGATAAAGTGTTGATATTCTTACTGAGGTAGTGTAGCCTATCCCTTTATTATTAATTATTTCAGATCATGACAACCAAGACCCAAATCCTGAACAGTAAGAAACTAGTTAGGAGATTGCCTCTTTCGCTTTCCTAGTTTCGAGTAGAAGTTAATCATATTTTTTTTCTCTTATGCTTTTTTCATTAAAGTTTTTAAGGGTATTCTTGTAACCCTATTAAGCATTTTAATTAACTATACAAGGAATGTAACCCTAAACTCTAATTGCTTCCACTAAATTATAAATTTCAGTATTGCTTATTGCACTATTTCTGAGTTATACGCTCAGAATTTCCAATAGGGGGTTTGGGCTTTTACACTATAAAAGTAAATTTTAAATTTCAAATAATTCATAGTCACCGTTATTTTGTTAGAGAGGAGACCGTACGATCTTATCATATATTTGTATATTATATATTATTTCTTAATTATATATGCAATTTATATTTTAGTTTAGCTTTTTTTAAAAAAAAAAACCAAATTTAGAGATTAGGCGCTTGAATGCATCAAATGGTGTTCTTTATTGTGGGTAAGGTTTCTTCTGTAATTAACAAAGTCGAGAAGTGAGATAAAAAGTATACAAGGTTATTCGATGGTCACACCCTACTTAGAGTTGATCCTCCTTTAATGTTATTCCCTGATCAAATCCCTTTGAACATCTCCAACCCCCAATTCTTTTATTGTTTTAATATATTTTTCATTTCACTTGAGAATATAACTTAGTGAGGAAACATGCATCCTTACATAATATTATCTCAAATTCGAGGCAAACTCTTTAATTCTTTTTTTTTTAACTTTAACCAATTTCACCTATTTTTCTCATTTGTTCATAGTCTTATTTTTAAGTGTTTAATTTCACTTTATTTTTTATTTGAAAATTATAAATCATGGTTGCTTGACTGGTGACTATAACACTTAGAAAAGGTCATCATGAACACCCTACCCATTTGTTTTCCTAGGATACACTAGATAGAGAAATTACGTGCATGAAATCTATTAATGAGAAAAAAAATTTCTCTTGAGAAACTAATTCGATGTCTTTAAAGGGTAATGACCTATTGCTAGATGTCAATAATGATTTGTGGATTCAATATAACTAGTAATTGAATTTATTTAATTATATTTTTAATAAATAAGATTAATATTCAATTATATAGTTAAATGATTGAACTTGGTTTTAAGAGTCTAAGGAATTGTTATATGTACATAAT